ACAATCTGAATCTCCTCGCAAGGGACTAGGTAAATGCCAGGTGCGAAGCCGAAGGGAGTGATAGACAGGATGAAGGACCAGTGACTGAGGCTGACAGAGGGCAAGAAAGAGGTAAGGGAGATATTGTTTGGAGCTGAAGGAGAAGAGGAAACCAAAGTTGTGCTGACCAGTAAGGTGCAATCAGAAGGACCTGACCCATAGTGGAATGAATGACCAAAGGCTGACAGGGTTGGTGTTCTACTATTAAACTTTTTGAAAATCATTTTCACTTCAATGATCACATTATAAACCAACTCTTGTTATTATTATGGTACTTCAACATTCTTCTAATTCAAAAGCAATGTTTCTCCATATCAAAAATTATTTTGCATTTATTTCATCTAGCCAAATATCCCTTATAGTTTTTGTCACCTACATGTTTAAATACAGTTAACTACATTTCTATACTTTGAAATAAATTAACAAGAAACCAAATTAAACATTACATTTTATTGAATAATGCACCATTTTGGAGCAGCTTTACTCAATAAGACATTATAATTAAACAAGGGACATTTCACATAACATTTGCAGGACTGCCAATATAACAATATTAAAACACAGTTTGTTAATTTTAGAATCAAATACCATTAACACTTTTAATTATTTTCTTTCTTGTAGGCCTGCTTTTTGAGAGGTTTAAGTCCCCTTGGATTACCAAAGTCTGAGATCATTATGTGGCTAGAACAGTGGATTTATATAGCCAAGAACATTGACAGTAAGCTACTTCATTCCATTTTACATGTTTATCATACTGTTGGATAAATTAGCTCTCTATTGATGAATACTAAAAGAAAATATTATAGTTAATATGCCAAATTTACTAATATGTTTTAAGATTGTGCCTTTTAAAAATAGACATGTACAAAACCTTTTTTTAAAGAAAGAATAAGAAATGTCATAAGTATGTGATCTTTTCTTGGATCTCTAGTGTGTAAATACAGACATTTATCAATATGACAAGTAATGATAATTTTTTAATGTGTGAGACTGCTCACATCATGACATTAAATACTTTTTATTTGATTGGAGTTTCAAACACCCTACTTTTCTAGCCTCTCGTGTTACATTTAGAATTATTAAGATTTCATTAGAAACTGTTTCTTTTTATTTAATGTTATCAGTAGACTAATACTAGACTTGTAGTAAGTAGTTGTTTGGTGAAGCATCTCAACTGTAATTAGTGTTTTCAAGGAAGATAACATTTGTGATTTTTCAGATTGCAAAATAGGTTTTCAATCCCATAGCGCCATCTGTTGGAGATTTCATCTGTAAAGTGGCATCCATTTAGTTTCAGAAATAGTTAACAATTAAGTTAGTTAGGCTTTAAAGTAATTTAAATTGTACTTGATTGTAATTTGAGACACATGGCATCACATTTTCTGTTTCAGATCACAGCCTCTCACTGTTACTCCACTGCCCCATTCTTCTTGCTTACAACTTTCACAGCAACTGGGTTTTGATTCATTAGGGTTTTTCTACAATAGTTTAAGAACTATCTGTCCATTCGGCTATTTAAATATGTAATCAGTGTAATAAAATCCTTTACTGTAATGATAACTCCACTATAGAAAATAATCCGAACTGGCTTTAACTAAAGACTGTGCCACAAGGCTTGGGAATATGCTTGTATAGGAATCCGAAAACATACAGAAGGTAAAAGAAAAGTTATTATTTTAATGCTTATCAATGATCTTTTGTTTAATGTTTTGAAACTCGTGTTTTATATCTCATCTTCAATATGTAACACTTAAAACAACAGGAATACTTTTGATCATTATTAAGTATGATAGCTAGGACATTCTTATTATTAAGATCTAGGTAGAGATATGAGTAAATTTACATTACTCCTCGTATTACTGATTTAGATAGAGCAGCAGTATGTAATCTGTCAATGGTATTACTGCTTTGAGTGATTGTAGTTTGAGTTCTTCGCGATTGAACGACTGGGTTTGAAAAAATGAACACTATAGGACTCACTGCAATATGTTTTGAACTATACTAAAAAATAGTGTATGGGCAGAATTCCTACTATAAAACCATTTGTAGGCTTCTTCTTACAGATCTTCTCTTCTTAAAACAACAGCAAGAGTATCTGTAAGGTCTACTGAAATGTTCAGAAACCCACCAAAGAAGCAGTTGAGACCATGAAAACTTTTATCATTTGTATATGTAATATATTTCCTTATTCACTTATTTATTTCCTAGTATTAAAGTAATTAGTAAGTTAAAAACACTATATAATATGGTTACAACTAGAATTATTTTTTCATGTTTAGAGGAATGTTATAATAGAACTGTAGAAGCTGCAGTCTTTGTTCTTTTAAGATGTATTTAATTGAAATTTACTGTAAACCTGCAACAGTACTGCTGTTTATGTGTGATATACTGATATAGAAACTACCATCTTAATTACGTAGAGTTGTATTAAGGTAAAAAGGAAACTGTGAAACTTATGTAATGCTATTGTCTAAAAGAGAGAGAGAATTTAAATGTGACATAGTGATCTAGCAAATAAAAATACTCATGAACAACCATCTTACAAAGAGCTGTGGTAAAGGAAATAGAACAATTTACTTATGAATTTTTTAACTACCAACTTTTTTTTATTTGAGATATAATTCTGTGATTAGTAGAATGGGAAAAAAACAATTGAGATTTCTGATTCAACTATTCTAGTCAGAAGAAAAGAAAAAGTGTGTTAGTTATGGTGCTTTGTGAATTTTATACATCTTAAGTCATCTTATAATTACTAGAAATGCATGATATTCTGACCTTTCTGAATGGTGTTTTAAGATTTTGTGGAAAATACTAAGCATATGCTCTAATCACCTAAGTTGCCACACTTCTAAACTTTATTAGTATTGATTTTTGCTGGAATATAAACTGATAATGTTTTTTTTATACTATGTTAAACATTTAAAACCCAGGGTCCCTTTGTTGCTATCCAGGGCAATGTGCTTTACTTCGATGTTACTCGTGATATTTCTAATGGGGTTTTAAAAAAAACTGTCATCAAAAAAGATCTCATAACTGAAAGCTATAAGAACTAGTATTTTCTAAAAAATATGGTTGGATTGGCATTTAGCATAAGCACGTAGTGTTTTATGAATAGCGGATAATCCTTTTAAATTCATATAGAGATGAAAGATAGTTTGTTTTTTCAGTAAACTATACCTTCACTAAAGTCAGTACTGGATGGAATACGTGGTTTGGTGAAAAAACATTTGTCTACATTTTTATGTCGTAAATCTAAAAGATATATTGGAGATATCCTAATGTTCCAAAGAAAACTAATTCCAAAGCTTTATTCCTGCATGATACATTGTGTACTTTCATTAATATATTAGACATTGTGAAAACATTTTTCTGCTCCTGTAATTTATTAAAGTTCAATAAAGTATTTTTAATAGTACAAGGAACAAAACTTCTATCCAAGATCATCACAAGTTAACAAAGAAGGTTTGGTTAAACTATGCGTACTAATGTATGTAATTACAGTACAGCAAAATAAACACAAATAGTGAAGTAATAAATTCGAGAAATACATACAAGATCTGGTTCTTCTGGGCTTTAAAAGTTTTAATACATCTGTGAAGTAAAGTTCTTCACTTATGAATTACTTCCAGTACAGAGATGTTAAATCTCTACAGCTTTCAATAATTCCATGATACTGGAGGTACTTTTGCAAGTGTAAAGCAGTATACTGTACAACATTCAAATGTGTGTGTGTATTGCTTTGAGAGGTTTAAGTCCCCTTGGATTACCAAGTTATACAATATGGAGACAATGTACAAAAAGTCACTTCCACAATATTATTATTATTTTTTGTTGAGTACAAGTATGTTTAAGCGCCATTTTTTTTTACAAAGTTTGAAAAGGTGGATATTCATAAGGCTTGAATGTTGGTCAGTTGGGAAGGTATATTAATTTTGTTTTTCATAAATTTGCTTATAAAGACCATGTGAATATTAGATGAAAAGGAACTATAGTGATTTCAAACTAAAATCTGTTTTGTGTTGAGGCTGTGGAATTATTATTATTATTATTTGAATAAAAAATAAACTATTGAAAACTAAACATGAATGCAGTTGGATAACATGCATTCTTGTTTGCTCTTCAATAAACTAGATTTCTTGACCTAAAAGTTAGGATTTGCATGGTTGACTTACTGACCTTTCCAAATTAATGAAAAAAAAAAGATTTAACTATATTCTTGTTTAGCAATTCATTAAACTGTTCCAGTTCACAATAACATGTTAATGATTCATTGAACAAAAGTTTATTAATAAATATACACAAGTGTCCCTAACACACTAATATTCTTAATAAAACAAATAAAGTATATTTCTAGAAGTTCTCAAAGATTTTAAATCAACAGACAGTGTAAATAACAAGAATACAATATATCAGTTTGGCCATTTAATATCTATAGTAATATATTCACAATCTTGCTTAACAAAAAAAAAAAAAAAAAAAGTCTTCGACTTAGTGACTTGTTATTCATCATGTTTAGAATTTTTTGTACTGAGAAATTGAAGTTTGAATATTTATATTCTAAGAAAACCAATGATATGTGACTGCACAAATGAAACTGGTTTTATTTTATATACTGCTTAAAACCACAGGATAAATGTTACATAACTGGTTTGCAAGTTCATCATTTCATACTGATCAAAAAGCTAGAGAAATTTTAAGAATCTAAGTTTAACTCACAAACTGAATTTCAAAGGCAATATTTCAATACAAATTGTACTCTTTATTCATATGTATATATATCAAAAACACTTA